TCCTTTGGCGGCCGCAGGGGGAGCTGGCTGTTCTGTCTCTGCTCCCCCTCCCCAGCTCACTACAAAGAGACCGGGGCCGGAATATGACGTCATATTCCGGCCCCGGTCTCATTAAGCGGCGCGCTGGGGAGGGGGAGCAGAGACGAAACAGCCAGCTCCCCCTGCGGCCGCCAAAGGAGCTCCCTCTGCGGCCGCCAGAACAGCCTGCTGCCTGCTTGGCCCCAGGTGCCGACGGCCCACCGGGAAATTTCCCGGTATCCCGGTGGGCCAGTCCGGCCCTGCATAGACACACACACCATGACACAGACAGACCATGACACAGACAGAAACACACACACACCATGACAGAGACACACATCATGACAGACACACACCTTAAAAAAGACACACACACCTTGACACACACCATAACACATACAGACCGTGACACAGACACACACATACCGTGACACAGACACACAGTGTGTATAGTGAATGTAGTGTGATTGTAGTGAGTGCAGAGTGTGTATAGTGAATGTAGTGTGTTTGTAGTGAGTGCAGAGTGTGTATAGTGAATGTAGTGTGTTTGTAGTGAGTGCAGAGTGTGTATAATGAATGTAGAGTGTGTATAGTGAATGTAGTGTGTATACTGAATGTAGTGTGTTTGTAGTGAGTGCAGAGTGTGTATAGTGAATGTAATGTGTTTGTAGTAAGTGCAGATTGTGTATAATGAATGCAGTGTGTTTGTAGTGAGTGCAGAGTGTGTATAATGAATGTAGTGTGTTTGTAGTAAGTGCAGAGTGTGTATAGTGAATGTAGTGTGTTTGTAGTGAGTGCAGAGTGTGTATAGTGAATGTAGTGTGTTTGTAGTGAGTGCAGAGTGTGTATAATGAATGCAGTGTGTGTAGTGAGTGCAGTGTGTATAATGAATGTAATGTGTTTGTAGTGAGTGCAGAGTGTGTATAGTGAATGTAGTGATTGTAGTGAGTGCAGAGTGTGTATAATGAATGCAGTGTGTGTGTAGTGAGTGCGGAGTGTGTATAGTGAATGTAATGTGTTTGTAGTGAGTGCAGAGTGTGTATAATGAATGCAGTGTATGTGTAGTGACTGCAGAGTGTGTATAGTGAATGTAGAGTGTATAATGAATGTAATGTGTTTGTAGTGAGTGCAGTGTGTGTATAATGAATGTAGTGTGTTTGTAGTTTGTAGTGAGTGCAGAGTGTGTATAATGAATGCAGTGTATGTAGTGTGTTTGTTGTGAATGCAGAGTGTGTATAGTGAATGTAGTGTATAGTGGATGTAGTGTGTAGTGAGTGCAGAGTGTGTGTAATGAATGCAGAGTGTGTATAGTGAGTGCAGTGTGTATAGTGAATGTAGTGTTTTTGTAGTGAGTGCAGAGTGTGTATAATGAATGCAGAGTGTGTATAGTGAATGTAGTGTGTTTGTAGTGAGTGCAGATTGTGTATAATGAATGTAGTGTGTGTTTAGTGAGTGCAGATTGTGTATAATGAATGCAGTGTGTGTGTGCTGGATGTAGTGTGTGCGGTGCTGGATGATGTGTGTGCTGGATGATGTGTGTGCGTGGATGGATTGTGTGTGTGTGTGTGTGTGTGTGTGTGTGTGTGTGTGTGCTGGATGGTGTGTGTGTTGGATAATGTGTGTGTGTGCGCTGGATGATGTGTGTGTGCGCTGGATGATGTGTGTGTGCTGGATGAGGTGTGTGTGTGTGTGCACTGGATGATGTGTGTGTGTGTGTGTGCTGGATGAGGTGTGTGTGTGTGTGTGTGTGTGCTGGATGATGTGTGTGTGTGCTGGATGAGGTGTGTGTTTGTGTGTGCGCACTGGATGATGTGTGTGTGTGTGTGTGCTGGATGATGTGTGTGTGTTGGATGATGTGTGTGTGTGTTGGATGATGTGTGTGTGTGTGCTGAATGATAGGGGGGGAAGCATTTTTTTTTTAACTTTATGTGTCTATATTTTTTTATTTTATTCCCCCCTCCCTGCTTCTTACCTTGTCAGGGAAGGGGGAGATCGCCTCGTGGTCCAGTAGAGGGAGGCAGCCGCTGCACACAGGGGCCATCACACGCTGTGTTCCTTCTCCAGCTCTAACTCTCGCGAGACTCGTCTGTGCTGAGCGTTGCCATGGTAACCCGTGGCAACGATCTGACAGCCGCGGGTCTCGCGAGAGTTAGAACTGGTGAGGGAACACAGCGTGTGATGGCCCCTGTGTGCAGGTAGCAGGGCAGGGCAAGTCCTGCAGGACTGCTAACGGGAACGGCGTTCCTGCTTTGGAAAAAGTGCAGGAACGTCGTTCCCATGCGTTCCTGCAGGACTCGAGCCCTGCATCCCCAGGTCTTCTCTATGAGAAGCATTTGATTGGACGAAAAATAGTTTCTTCAAAATTTCTGGTTAAAATTCATATGTGTGCTTCATATATTATGAAAAATACGAGAAATATATCTGGGATTCTTTTCTATAGGTGCAGTACGAGACTTGGATCAGGCGTTGGAGCTCAGTGGAGGGAAGGGGTTAGTAGGGTGCCAGGCCCTGGTACAGAGGGGTCTGATCCTGCTCCTCCAAGGTAACCACAAAGCAGCAAGGAAAGATCTACAAAACGCAGCCCAGGAAGGAAGTGCATACGCCAAACAATTGTTGATTCAGCTGAACCCATATGCTGCACTCTGCAACAGCATGCTGCGGGACATGATGCAAAAACTGCAAGAACCAAACTCCAAGAGTTGCTAAAGCATGCAGCCACGGGGCAGCTCGAGTGTTGATAGTACTCACTGGTGAGACAATGACCAAAAAAGATAGAGACAGAATCGGTAACATTTTGTAAGATGATGCTTACTAAGATGGGAAACATTTGAAATAAACCATTTTTTTTTTATGTGACATTATTGATTGTTCAGTGTTGTATAGAGTCTGATATGTATGTAAATCTTATGCTTGTTCATAAATGTATTTACAGTAAAGTGATCACAGGAACCAATGACAATATTTACACCTCTATTTTCACCCTGCATAGCACACCAGAGAAATTCTATACAACCTCCAATCCAATCAGCAATCTATAGCACAGCACACAAGGCTTGTTGTATAGATCATGCCCCTGCAGTCTCATTGCTCAAATCTATTAATGAGTTATGTAAGCTCGTTTGAGCAGGGTCCGCTTTAACCTATTGTTCCTGTACGTTTTTGTAATTGTCTCATTTATTGTTAAATCTCTCTCTCTTGTAACATTGTAAAGCGCTATGGAATTTGTTGGCTCTATATAACTACCAATAATAATAATAATAATAATATAACTTTTGTTTCTGTTTATGCAGGCCTAGCCACACCTCCCTTGGCTGTGACTCACACAGCCTACATGAAAAAAAAATGGTTTCATTTTCAATTAGATATTAACTTGGTCCTGCCACTTAAATTGAAAATTAATCATGCCCCTGCATGGTTTAGAAGGCTTTTTACAAAGCAGGAGATAATACATTCTAACTTAAACATACTGTGCAATAAAGGAATTTTAAATATTAGATCTCACGTTACAGGAAGTGTTTAGGAAGGCTGTGCAAGTCACATGCAGTAAGGTGTGGCTAGGACTGTATCAACAAAAATACCTAACTCCCAAATGGCAGATAATTGAGCAGTGAGAGTGCAGAGAGTGCAATGTGTATTCGGTGTCTATAGAGTCCCTTTAATTTACTTGTTGCAACACTGGGAGGAACTGGTCTCAGATCACTTGTTCCCAGTGCTGGTGAAGTAGAAACCATGCAGGAGAAGAGCAGCCTGCTGTAGCACCTTCCCTTGCCCTGTTCTTGGCCATCTGGTCCCTACTGGACCAACTTCCTGCTGCTAAATGGTAAGCAAAAAGGAGGTGCCATTATCAATGTGTGGCTGTAGTAATGTGTTGCATGTAATGTGTTGCATGTGTGTTACGCATAGTTTGTATCTAGCAGTGTGATTGTCTCTGTGGTTAGCATTGCATGTGAGTCAAGCAGGGTATATGGCAATGTGTAACTGAATGGCCTGGCTGTTGTGCATTGGCGTGGTAAAACAAATACAACAAACTGCCCACGCACATAAATAGAACAGAGCCCACAAACCCAACCAAAGCAGCTGCAAGCATTCACATGTAACACAAACAGAATACGGCAACATAAATAGGTAACATATGTAAAATTTTTATATGTATGTGTAATTGGAAAAAAAAACTCAATAAAAGATTACGAATTGAAAAAAAAGAATACAGCAACATATACATGTTACATGTTAATTTAAAAAAAAAAACAGCATACAAATGGACTTCAAATTCTTGTTTTGGCACAGTGCTGCTAAAAGGTTGCCTACACCCTGTCCTACGCATTTCTCCCTAATTATACAGACAAATAGAACCCCATTCTGAATAGGAAATTCACTCACACTTTCATAGGACTAACATTCAGGTTACTTTATCTCCTATAGATTTTTCTGATCCACGCTTGTTCTCTATTCTTAATTTATTATTTATAAGAAAATGATTTGCACTGTTATCAAACCTATTAAAATTCAACCTCCCCTAACAATCTAACTTCTTCATCTCACGAGGCTATTGAGTAAAGTGAGCACTCCTGGGAATTCATAGTGAATTTCGAATATAAGGCCAAAATAAACAAACTTAAAGCACCACTCTAGGCACCCAGACCACTTCAGCTTAATGAAGTGGTCTGGGTGCCAGGTCCTTCTAGGGTTAACCCATTTTTTCATAATTATAGCAGTTTCAGAGAAACTGCTATAATTATGAATGGGTTAAGCCTTCCCCCTAATCCTCTAGTAGCTGTCTCATTGACAGCCACTAGAGGCGCTTGCGTGCTTCTCACTGTGAAAATCACAGTGAGAGCACGCCAGCGTCCATAGGAAAGCATTGTAAATGCTTTCCTATGAGACCGGCTGAATGCGCGCGCAGCTCTTGCCGCGCGTGCGCATTCAGCCGGCGGGGCGTAACGGAGGCGGAGAGGAGAAGGAGAGCTCTCCGCCCAGCGCTGGAAAAAGGTAAGTTTAAACACCTTTCCCCCTTCCAAAGCCGGGCGGGAGGGGGTCCCTGAGGGTGGGGGCACCCTCAGGGCACTATAGTGCCAGGAAAACGAGTATGTTTTCCTGGCACTATAGTGGTCCTTTAACACAGAATTGACTTTTTTGGTCTAATTTTTTTAATTCCCGGTAAGTGTCACTTTAGTATCCCACACAAGCAGTTTTAATTCCCTAGATTAAAAAAAAAAAAAAAATTTAAAATGTTATCTGCACAATATTCTAAATAGTACCATTGCAGTGGCTGGCCATTAAGGTGTAAGCTCAGCTGCCAAAATCAACGTAAATCTTAGATGAGTTCTACATTCACAATTCACCTTGCTGCTTTCAGTTTAAACTAAAGTTTCCACTGCCCAAACACCAAATAAATAAAAGTCCCTGTTTAGTAGATATACCCCCACTGAAACCATATTTGTATTTATTTATGCATTTTTTTTCTTAGGGGTTTATCTAAAATAGCTTGTAAAAAATGCATTTCTCTTGTCTGTTGCCTTTACAAGCCCTCCCCTTCTAAACCCGCCCAAAATTTCTGTGGCTGTCCAATCACAGACTTTCCAATGCAGCTCAATGAGAAGTCTTTGCAAGGCAGGTGCTCTTTGTAATTGCGGCCTCTTGAGTTTAGCTCTGTTGAGCTAACCAAACTGGGATGTAACAGGACTGGTTGTTTGTCTGAAAGCCAGAGGTGGTATTACTAGGTAAATTCATAAAAGTGTCAAATTCTATTGACACACTTTTCACACATAAAGATTTTCAGCAAGCTAAAGTGCTTTAGGGGTCTGGAATGTCCTTTTAATGGCAAAGGGGAATTCCTATGAACCCCTACAAACTAATTAACCTTTAACTTATTGATTTTTTTGATTGGGTAACTAAAATAATAGAACAGGGTGGTGCAGTAGACATTGCTTACCTATATTTCAGTAAGGCTTTTGACACTGTTGCACATAGAAGGCTTATCAATAAACTGCAATCTTTAAGTTTGGATTCCAATATTGTTGAATGGGTAAGGCAGTGGCTGAGTGACAGGCAACAGAGGGTTGTAGTCAACGGAGTATATTCAAAGCATGGGCTTGTCACCAGTGGGGTACCTCAGTACTTGGACCCATTCTCTTTAATATTTTTGTTAGTGATATTGCAGAAGGTCTTGATGGTAAGGTATGTCTTTTTGATGATGATACTAAGATATGTAACAGGGTTGATGTTCCAGGAGGGATAAGCCAAATGGCAAATGATTTAGGTAGTCAGAGTTGTGGCAACTGACATTTAATGTGGATAAGTGCAAGATAATGCATCTTGGACGTAAAAACCCAAGGGCAGAGTACAGAATATTTGATAGAGTCTTAACTGCAACATCTGAGGAAAGGGATTAGGGGTGATTATTTCTGATGACTTAAAGGTAGGCAGACAATGTAATAGCGCAGCAGGAAAAGCTAGCAGAATGCTCATGCCATTGTACAGAACACTGGTAAACCTCACTCGGAGTACTGTATGCAGTACTGAGACCGTATCTCCAGAAGGATATTGATACTTTAGAGAGAGTTCAGAGAAGGGCTTCTAAACTGGTTCATGGATTGCAGGATAACACTTACAAGGAAAGGTTAAAGGAACTTAACATGCATAGCGTGGAGGAAAGATGAGACGGGGGATATGATAAAAACATATATTTAAAAGAAGAAAAACTACCACAACAAGAGGACATAGTCTTAAATTCGAAGGGCAAAGGTTTAAAAATAATACCTGGAAGTATTACTTTACTGAGATGGTAGTGGATGCATGGAATAGCCTTCCAGCTGAAGTAGTAGAGGTTAACACAGTGAAGGAGTTTAAGCATGCGTGGGATATGCATAAGGCTATTCTAACTATAAGATAAGGCCAGGGACTAATGAAAGTATTTTTAAAAATTTGCCAGACTAGATGGGCCGAATGGGTCTTATCTGCCGTCACATTCTATGTTTCTAACTTGGCATGCATGGAATGGGTAGCAGCACAGTAAAATGACTTTGTAATACAAAAGCAAACGAAAACACACAGAAACAGGTTTTATACCCAACTCCCACTACGCTTGGGTTGCAGCATTGGCTTTATTATTTACCAGCCCAAATAATTAAACATAAGATTGTGAACTGAAAACAGAATTCTTTATCCAAGGAAACATGTAAAATACACCTGTGGGGCTTTTCCACCAGGTCTCCCAACTGTACCGATTTTGGAGGGACAGGACAGTCTTGGTTTTTGTGTCCTGTCCCATTGTCCTGACTTAGTTGCCTGGCGTCCCACTTTTAGTGCAACCAGGGAACTGTCCCCAATAAACATAGCGCGATTGCATCATTAATAGAGCAATTTAGGGGGAAAAACTGACACTATCGCGGAATTGGAGAGTGTTTTTGTCACCTATTTCCTTGATTATGAATAAACCGGTCTGTGTTACAATAATGCTAACACAGTCATGAATGGAGCATATATTTTATACATATTGCAGGCTTTTGTTAATGCATATTTCCCAGTAGTCCCAGTGGGCCATCCCAAATTAAGACTACTATCCTGCCATCTCTGATATGTTCTCTGGTGACCTTTATCTGGGAACACCATATACAAAGTCTCCATAAAGCAGAGTGTGAGTATGTTATTATTTTTAGACCTGCATCTTACACTGTGCACTGTATACAGGCTGGAAGTTTTTACAATGCCATGTGGGTGCTGCCCTAAGTGAGGCTGGCCAGTGTGGTTAGCATACATCAAAGCCATGGCTTATATGCCCCATTTTTGCATAAGCCATTCCTTTGGGTCGCTGAGTCACTGGCACACTCCTATCGGCCATCCCTCCCCTTAACAGTGCCCCATCCCAAGGTAACTAGTCAAACCTTTTGAGAATGGTTTGACAACTTACATAAGGACCGCCGTTCAACAGTGTTCTCCCAGAAGATCGTGCACTGAGTTTATCTCAGTGGCTGAAAGCGCTCGGCTTATGTTCTCAGACAGCTCTGCACAAAAGGGCTTAGCTCAGTGGAGCTAACAATAGATTTCTGCTCCATGGGAAGAGGTGATCAGCATCCAGTGGACTCCAAGTAAGTTCTCAAACGGTTCTCAAACCCACTGTGGTGGTTATGGTGTTTGACGTGTTTCTTTAACACAAACACAACTGTATGTAACACCAATTAAAAGTGAGATCTGGACAATGTGATAAACATTCCTGGCTTCTACTGTTAAATATGAATAAAATGCTTGAATAGAATCCTAGGGTCTCACAGTCTTATATGTAAACATCATATAAAGTGCAAGCTTATTCTATAATATATACATAAATGACAACTTTGAAATGGCCTGAGCCATAATGAATCTCAAATTTTATTCCACAAGAGCTGAACTCAAAACATGGTATACTGAACATTGAGAATGATGGAAACCGAATGTCCAATTACTACTTTAACAGATTTATTCACTAAAGTGTGAAGAGTCAGGAATTCAAAGTGAATTTACAGTGATTTTCTCATTTTAGGCCAAAATAGCAAAAATAGAAAAAAGTCAGCTGTGTTTACAGTTCGGCTACTCTGGCCTAACATTGGAAATTCACTTTGATTCAGGTCAGTTCACTGTTTAAGGAACACATCTTCTAAATTAGCAAAGAGATACTCAATTTGCAAAACCCTCATCCCTCATAGTACACGTCACTGTTACCCGACAGCCCAAATCATTATTGACTCCTTGCAATATAGACCATGCAGTGTGAAATAAAACAAGGCCATTGCTCATTATTTGGGTGTTGGGCGCCATCTAGTGGCAAGTCATGTCGATCATGGCTTGGCTCCGCCTGCTGGATGCTGGCCACTTGGAATACCACTGCAGAGGTTGAATGGTTGAACAGAACGTTGTAGTTGCTGATGTTGCAGGTGCAGTTATGGGGTGAGAGAGAACGATGCATGGCCTGTACAATCCAGTTCAGGGCGTCATAGAAACAGTCACAGCACCTTCTCAGAGATCAGCAGATGTGAGGACAGAGTTTGCATCAGACCCCAGCCTCAGCTGATGTCGGTGAGACTCCAAATTGTACATTAGGGAGAGGAGCTGGGGTGCAGGGAGACACTATACAAACCCTCTGCAGTAGGAGTTGTGTTGAGACTTCAAATTGTACATTAGGGAGAGGAGCTGGGGTGCAGGGAGACACTGTACACACCCCCTGCAGTAGGAGTTGTGGTGAGATTCCAAATTGTACACCAGGGAGAGGAGCTGGGGTGCAGGGAGACACTGTACACACCCCCTGCAGTAGGAGTTGTATTGGCACTGTGGAAGGGGGGCATGCACACCCATCTACTTGCAGTAATAGACAGTAATTTTATAGTCTCGAAGGAGGGTGTATATAGCTGGATGATGAATTTGAAGTTCAATATTGATATATATTTTATGAATTCTTCCAAATCTGAGCAGGTTGGGCCTATTTTAAAAGTGATGTTCTGTATATTCTTCTTCTGCAGCAATGAACCTGGTGTGATTGATGTGTCCTGTCCAGAATGCTGCTTAGTGTATCTCTGCTGCTTTTATACCAGCTATTTCATAGAGGTGAGCATCTGCCCTTGCAGCTGTTATATCGCAGAAGAACATTGTAGTAATGTGCACAAACTACCGTGCTGTGTTTATATCCCATTCCTTGTGTGTTCCAGGTATTGGAGAGCCACTTCAAAATGAGGAGACTCAAGGATTTCCATGCGAGGGGGCTAGTCCTTCCTTAACGTGGTACCTCAATGGGGTGAAGCAAGATACCGGGGTGGGCAAGGACCCTCCATTCCTTTTACCACTAACCCCTGGTAGTTCTAGTATACTTACCCTAGCAGAAAGTGGGGCAGATAACTGCAGCGAACCATCACAGAGAGAAGAACTCCTGAGCATGCACTGTAAGTGTTAAATTAAATATTATGCTGCATATATTGTGGTATGTTTCATCAGAAATAGTTTTGCTGGATATACCGTGCTGCGTGAGACCAAGAACTGGTATGTGGTGTGTTTGAGAGATAATGTGTTGAAGGGGTCCTTAATTTCTATGATGATTTGACAAATAAATGGCTGAGCAGTTAAAACAGCTGAGCTAGAAGTTTTAAATTTTTGCCTAAAATTAGGTTTTTCTCTACAATTTCTGTCCCGTGAATAGCTTTATCTTTGTTTTTTTTCCTTCTTCAGTTCCTGCTGACTCTCCAGGTCATATTTCACGTAGTTCCGGGCTCTCTTTACTCCTACTCCTAGTAATCCGAGCCCAGCCTCCAACCAGCTTTACTCTGCGAGGCCAGGACGGGAAGCTTGCGCTCAACTCTTCTCGTCTGCTCTTACTTGACACCCGAAACGTGGAAGGCAACGGGAGCTTAAAGGTAAAGGTCAGCACTGAAAATGGTGGCATCAGCCGAGCATCTGTATCAGCATTGGGTGAGTGATCTCTTAAAGGCACCCCGTACACTCAGATTTAGTAATCTAGTGCTCATTCTGCCTTCTAACTTTTTTACATCCACTATCTTTTCTTGTTGCTAACTACACTGCTCCAACACACCTTAGGTCTCCTCTCCACCCGGGTAGAACTCCCCCTCTTGGCCTTGGTTGTGGGGGTTGCTGGAGCGACTGCTGGTATTATTTTGGTGAATTCCCTGATCTGCTGCTTCTTGCTAAGGAGGAAGAGGAGGGAACGTAAGTGAGTGGTCGAGGAGCAGTGTGGATGAGTGTTGGCATCTCTTTTATAGCTGATGTAATGTGTACTCAGATAATCTAACACATACAGAGGCACAGAGGGATGTGAGTGCTGTATCATAAAGACTAACCAGGACAGTGTCGATTTGGAAAAACGGCGCCTGAGAGAGGATATGATAACTTTATACAAATATATTTGGGGCCAGTACAAACCTTTATCTGGAAATCTATTCATAAACAGGGCTCTACATAGGACACAAGGTCACACATTTAGGCTGGAAGAAAGGAGATTTCATATAAGGCAAAGAAAAGGGTTTTTTTTACACTAAGAGCAAAAAAGATATGGAATTCTCTGCCTGAAGAGGTGGTTTTGTCAGAGTTACTACAGATGTTTAAACTGCAATTAGATAAATACTTCCAAAAACATAACATACAGGGATATCATTTCTAATTAGTGGGGTAATAGCTGCTTGATCCAAGGAGACATCCGACTGCTATTTTGGGGTCAAGAAGGAATTTTTTTCCTAGTTTGTGGCAAAATTGGAAGTGCTTCAGACTAAGTTTTTTGCCTTCTTTTGGATCAACAGCAACAACATATGTGAGGAAGGCTGAACTTGATGGACGCAAGTCTCTTTTCAGTTATGTAACTATGTAACTATGTATTTTAAATAATGTATTTCTATTTTTTTTTTTTTTTTTGTAGATGGCATGAGAAATCAACTAACGCTAAGGTGAGTATCCACATATTTATTCCCATTCTCAAGGGAATTCTGTAACAGAAAATATTTTTTCTGTAATTTGTATTCACCTGGGAGGCAAAGCGTATGTTAAAGGGATACTCTAAGCACCAAAACAACTTTAATGAAGCAGTTTTGGTGTATAGCTCATGTCCCTGCAGTCTCACTGCTGAATGTTCTGCCATATAGGAGTTAAATAACTTTGTTTATGCAGCCCTATCCACACCAAATGTGGTTATAACTCTCACAGCCTCCATGAAAAGTTTTTATCTCCTGCTCTGTTAATTGAAGTTTAATCACATACAGGAGGCTGCTGCAGGCTCTATTGGGCTATTAACAGTGCAATAGATAAGAAATCATTAAGGAAAGCTTAAAATGTAGACTCTTTTTTTCCAGGAAGTTTGTTGGAAGGCTGTGTGAGTATGAGACAGGGAAGGTGTGGCTAACATGTGATGTAACTCCCAAATGGCAGAGACTATGGAGGTATAATCTATACATAAAGTTGATTTGGTCCCATTTGAAGGGACCTGATCCTGGGATGTTCATTGTACTAAAGCTCTGTATAAGTAAATCATCACTGTGTTAATGTTATGAAGAAGATACTTGAGATGGTATCTAATCCACATTTTTCTACATTCTACAGCCAATACTATAAATAAAATATGCAGGCTATAAAATATAAAAATGGAAAAACAAATGATACTCATTTTCAAAGCTGCTGAATTTTCTGCAGTGACCTTTACTCAGACTAGGAAGTACCGAACATCTGTCAGCCATTTGAAGTAATTGATTTCACAAACACATCACATAAACCTTTGCATAACTTACTGATAAATCCATTTATGCCAAGAATAGAGTAATAGAGGTAGCTGCAGTTTTTTTTTCTGAAACATCTATCTTAATCAGTTACAGGAGGAACTGGGTACAGTGTGCACCTGCATTATGGCATGATCCTTACAAGCTCTTCACTGGGCAGGATGCAACTACTTCCTTCTGGGATGTCTCTGAGTAACTGGCATATAGGTGTAGTGATGTTTGGAAGTCCAATGAGTTATACGCAACTGTCCAAGGTCACAGTGATAGGCAACTTCCTTGCACCATCCAATAACCTATGCAAGAAACTTTAAGTCTTATTTGGAAATGTCACCCCTAATACTGCACTATAGTATGCAATATCAATATTACGCAATGATATACATAGATCTTAAAATGTGTTAAAGACTCTGTTTGGAAAAGATAGATTGAGTAGCTGTGAGGATCCTATCCTCATCCTATCCTATCCTATCCTATACTATCCATATTCATATTCATATTAAGAGTTGAGAATAGCTATTGTTCATGGTTGGGTATATCCGATTATGAATCTGACTCGTTATCAAATAGGGAAAAGTAAACTATGTATTGAAGGATATCACTATGTCTCCTGTTTGTATTCTCAGCACATCGAATAACATGAAGTTAAATAACAGTTGTCTCCCTCGGGAACACATGTCTCTACCGTCCAACCTGCAGCTCAACGATCTACGACCCCAAGCCAGAGGTACACATATCTTCTATTTCCTTAAAGTGTTTAAAATAAACTAATGTTCATTTAACATGCAGTGCGGTGCCAATGTTTGGGTCACCCTGGAGGCAATACCTTCTAATCGTGTGCAGTGATCGATTGACTCCATGGGGTACATTTATCAACATGTTCTGTTCTAAAAGGTGGAGCACAAATATAAAAGGGTTTGAAAGTCTCCAGTGGAATGTGTTGGCTGGGTCTACTGGTTTCCATGGTGATTGCAGCACTTTTAGTACTTTAGATCACTTTTTAGAATAGAACGTGTTGATAAACATCCCCCAATTTATTATCACTCATTGGGTGCTGTCTCTCAACTGCTAGTCTGGGCAACACATGCCTCATACTTGTTTTTCACCTCAACTCCCAGCTCCCAGAATTTCTAATATTGAAGGGTATATTCCTACAGGGTGATGCAGGTCACATACATAATTTCTTAGTTACGTGCTTCTTCCTAACATTCTATCTTTGAAACCTTCACCCAGGACTGCAGGATGCTTCGGCAGATGATACACAGGAAGATGTGTCTCTGCGTTGTGGAATATTGTCTGACACAGGTAGGTGAAGATTACAGATCCATTCAGTTTCACAGAGGTAAATCACAATCTCAAGCATATTGATCTTTTATTTCTTGTTATAAAAGCAAATCTTAAATAAAAACTTTAATATTGAACATAATAAAATGGGATATAATATTTTGTAATGGATATATATATAATAATAAATACCTCTTTTCTGTGCATACTTTTAATGGATACTCTAAGCGCCAAAACAACTTTAGTTTAATGAAGCAGTTTTGGTGTATAGATCATGCCTCTGCTGCAACACTACTCTATACCACTTAGGAATAAAATCACGTTTGTTTCTGTTTATGCAGCACAAGACACAGAAACAAACCTATGAATGCATTGATGGACAAAGCCAACAAGAAAGAAAATTGTTCATTTCCAATCAGATCTTACACCACAGAGTATTTATTTTAGAAGTTTTTATCTTTTGTTCTGTTAATTCACTCCTGCAAACATTAGCAGACTATTAACAGAGCAGGATATACATTCTAAATTAAACAGACTTTGCAGTGAAGGAAGTTTAAAACTTAGGTCTCTCTTTACAGGAAGTGGGCAGGGAGGCTGTGTAAGTCGCCAGCAGGGGAGGTCTGGCTAGGGCTGCATAACCGAAGTGATTTTACTCCCAAGTGGCAGATACTATACACCAAACTGCTTTGTTAATCTAAAGTTGTTTTAGTGCTTAGAGTGTCCCTATAAGCCCTCTTTCGTCAGAAGCACCACCTATCCCACTGAAAACTATGGAGGTTACGGAGTATCAGTGTTATTCACTAAAGTAAGAATTCAAAGTGAATTTTAAATGTAATGCCAAAGAACGGGAAACAAGCTGGCTTAGAGATTCTTTTCCATTTTTACCACAATTACCTTAAATTTTAAATTTAATTGAATTCTCACTTTAGTAAATAACCTTGTTTGTTTTCACATATCCTTAAGTCATGAACTGGGCATCTCAAAAAAAGCTCACTGAGAGGTAAGCGGTCCAACTGCAGCATAAGGAGGTGTTTAAAGCATATGTATGAAGTACCAAATATATACATGGAGGTAGTGTTACATTTTATCTTTTATTTCCAGTAATAAAAATGAGTACAGTTTTTCTTTAAATGGGCACTCTATACACATTGTAGTGGTTATGCTACAAATAGTCTATGGGTACCACCATCAAAAAATGTGTCATGACATCCGCAGAATATTATTAACATACCTTCTAGATTGAGTTGTATGTATATAGTGCCCCTTCATGTCATTGGAAGTGGTACATTACTGGTAATACTGAAGCCATATATACTCATATAACCACATTCAGTTGCATAAAAATGGCTAAAAATTATTCAGGAACTCTGGAAACGTTTATTAGCTTTGATTACATAAGAATTGCCTGGCCTATCTAACTGATTTTAAAAATGTCAGGCTTTTTTCCAAGTCTGACTTTAGAATAGCTCTTGGCCATTCAGTTCTTTTATGCATCTATTAACAGCTGGTTTGGAGAACACAGTTTATGTCACATGTTATATACCAATTAAAGGAACACACCGAGCACCATAATCACTACAGTGTGCTGTAGTAGTTATGGTGCCAGGGGTGGCCTGGCACCCCCACAGTGTAAAGTTTCGTATAATTTTGTAATGGTTCGGCTTCTAACCCTTGGTCTACCATGGGCACTCCACACCGACTCTCCACTGGATGCAGTGCACTGTAGTGGTTATGGTGCCTGGAGTGCTCCTATAAACAGCTCAACTGCAATGACCAAAAGACTGTTGTAGAATCTACATTTTTTAATAATTCTGGTAAAATTCACTTAAGTCAAATGCAATGATTCCACTATTCTTTGCTGATTTTCCAAGACCCTGGATCTGAACTCAGAACTTGGATTTATTAAATAGGTCTTAATAAAACTGAGCTCAAGTTCAGCTGCCAACGCTGCTTTTCATTGAACTCTGAATAGTTCCCAAATAGCACTGCTGAAGAGTATTAAAGAAAATAAATAAATCCCATCCCTCCAGTTGCAAATTCTATTCTTCTGTCACAGTGATCACTGTCATGGCAGTATGAGATATATGAATGAAGTCATGCAATGTCTATGAGAACATTGTCAGTCAGTTTCTAAACTTTTCTCATCTTCTCTTCTAGGATTTGATCGTTTTCCACTGGTTGGTTACATTTATAAAGCACCCAGTGTGAGCAGTGATGAAATATGGCTGTGATGTCACTTTACACCACACATTTTTCCTCTCATATAAATGTGTTGGGCAGAACATGGCCTAAAGGTCCTTTTAATACTTGATTTTCCAGCACAATGCATGTAACTTAATGCCCTTCCACCCAAGATGTATTGCAGAAAGGGGTATGGATATTTTAGGATGATAGGAGGTAACTAGTGCCTCAACCAAAGATGTGTCTATTCCTAGAGCCAGTGTAGGCAAAACTTTGGTAGCATTGTGCCGAAATAAAGCCATATGGTGTATGCAACATTTGTATATGTTGGCGAATTCTGGATGTATTATGTACGAGTGGGGTGGCTGCTTTGATAGGTCTTATGTGTGTAAATGTGGACTGTGCATGGTGTTGTGTATGTGTGTGGGCTGTATGTATTCTGTGTCCATGCGTTATATATTTGTTTTGGATGTTTGTGGTGTTTTGTGTGTGTATATAAGGTGGTAGTCTGTTTGTGGAGTGATTGGTGGAATTGCATGCATGTGTGTTGGCTGTTTGTGATAGTTTGTGTTTATGGGCAGCCTGTTGTGTTATGAATGTGTGTGGTACGTGGTATTTTATGTAGTCTGCCAGTTATGTATATGTGCAGACTTCTGTGGCCAGTCTTTGCTGTTAAGCGTGTGCATGTTGGTTGATTGTAATAGTTGTGTATGTGTGGAGTCTGTCTTTGGTATTTTGTGTATGTGAGCGGTTTTTAGTTGTTTATGTGTGCTGCCTGCTGTGTTATGTATGTGTGGGCTCTATGGTACTGTGGGAGGGCTGTTTGCAAGGTTATGTATGTGTGGTCTGTCTGTAGTGCAGGGGCGTACCTAGAGCATTTGGCACCCGGGGCGGACCCTGAGTGTGGCACCACCCCCCCATAATAAAAATGTAAGAAAACACCCACAATTTTTTCAATGTTTTCAATAATATTTATTTCACAAATTTGTAAACTGTATATCAACTATGAAAAATAAATTAACTTAGAAATAAATAAAATTTAAATAATTAACATTTACTTAATCCACCCCCCCATATTTAAACCTCCCTCCTATAATACACCCCCCCATAATTAATACACCCCCATAATTAAACCTCCCTCCCCTTTAATTCTTTAATTATATACCCCCCTTTTAATTAATTTAATAACATCACATAAATTACATAAACACATAAATTAATAACATCACATAAATTACTATTCACGTTTTGATGATAGCTTCCCTCCGAGACGACCACTGGATCCTAGTGCTGAAGATCCGTGAAGGCGGACTGACAGCAGCGCTGCGTACGGCGTCATCACTCCGCGTCCCGCAAGACTCCTCCCCCTTCTCAGCCTCCGCAAAGGTGCTGCGGCTGTGCGCAGCGTAATGATTGGGGCCGGGGGGGTGACACATGACACTGGAAGTCATGGCACCCCCCTAGTCAGTGGCACCCGGGGCGAGCCGCCCACCCCTTTGTACGCCATTGCTGTAGTGTTGTGTGAGAAAGGTGTTTGCAGGGGATTTGTGAGCATCTTTATGCAATAAATTTTAAAGATATAATAATTAAAAAAGATAATATATATATATATATATAAAACTTTTTTTATGCCCCATATCCTTATTGCCTCTCTATTCCCAGGGAGGAGGGGCATGAAGCTTTATTAGTTCCTGGTGATCCAGTGTGTGGATCTTTAGGCCTGCACCTTCCACAGGTTAAGAACACTTTGCCAATGTTTTCATTCTGGCAAGACACAGTGAGGCCATGATAACTTGTGTAGAAATGTGAAATAGAGTTCCCTGTGGTGTTTGCACGTGCTGGAGGTGTATACCACTGGCTCCCTCGCGCTCCAGATGCTGGGGCACTCTGGGGGATCCTCTAGGGATGATTTGGGCCCAGCAACCTCACATGCCATAGATTGCCTATCCCTGTCCTAGAGTTGTTGTTTTTGTTAGCAATTGTTCTATATGCAAAATGAGCACCAGACGTCGTACAATAAAACATCATGGTATAAATCTTTTTACACTACAAGTAGAAAATACTAGAGTACACTTGCCATCAGGCCTGTTAACATAAAATTTCCAAAGATTTATTTTTTCCCGTTTAAAAAAAAAGAAATCAGTGTATGTATAGGTCCATAGTTAGAAAAACTGACTACGTCTCAAAGATCTATTTTGTTAGCAGGGCAAGGCATATAAAAAGCTCTATTGATTTACCAAATGCTCAAGGGGGCTACATTGCTCTCATAGAATCACAGCAAATGTATTGAAGGAAATGCTGCAATGTGAGCAGTTTGTGCAGCCCAACCACAGAACCACATAGCGCTTTGATATCACTGCATACTGACAGAAGTAGATACAAGTGAAGTGATTGGCTTTGTTTGAAAGTTAAAATACAAGTGTTTGCAGGTCAGAATAAGCTTGTCTTCCAGTATAAGATAAAACTCCCAACAAAACACTACCCGCCAGGTGTAGCCGTGATGCAATTTAATATAAATAAATACTTAATAGGCATGAGATTTTATTTTTTAAATGAACATAAAAATGATAGCTCTGATTAAAAGCAAGTGGCTAAAAAAGAGCAATACTAATATGTGCATTTGTTAAAATGAGGTGTTTTGAATGTCTTCTCATCTGCATGTTTAAGAGGACTCAATACAAGTGCTGAGATTGTGAAACTTCTATATGATCCAAGTCCACCTGCAATAAACTGAGGCTCCGTGTACAATGTTCAGACGTTTTATTTTGTACACCAAACCTTAAATAGAAGGTATCTATTTGCAATTTGTTATGTTTCAATATTGCATATATTTTCTGAAAGGAGTTGGATTATTTTATTATAGAAACATATCTATACATAGTGTTCCATATTATTAAATCATAAAAAAAAAATATATAGAAAAACGACATAACACAATACTATTACAAAGATAAAAAACAAACAAAAAAAAATATATAGCCCTTTTAATTTGTGCTTCCCATACATAATGCAAATAATTGCAAAGCTATTACAGATATGTATGGGGAAAAGGGCATTTGCGTTTATAAAAGTGAATATATTACAATTTCAGACAATTATGGACTGCTTGCAGAAGTGCTATATTAGTGGGGCAGAATGAATGAGATCAGTTAACATGCAGGTCATCTGTGTCCCCAGTAGGTGGAGCAGTATTTCCAGAGGTGCCTCTTCCCTTGTTTCCATTGGCTAATGCTTTGAAATGCTATGGAGACGGAGAGAGAGAGAAAACACTTTAGGGATATTCAGAATAGCAGGAGGCCTTGGGATAATTATAGGCCCCTCATCTACCTATTGTTCCTGTGTAATTGTCACATTTATTGTAAATGCCCCCCCTTTCATAACGTAAATCACTGTGGAATTGGTTGGCACTATATAAATACTGATAATAATAATACAATTAATCATCTAAATTAACTTACAAATATCTAGAGTTTCATTTACCTAGATCTATGTACCGGCAATGGCTATTGCACATTAGAAAAAAATACATTGGGGCAAATAGGTAATTTAAGTTAGATGTAATTTAAGAGAATATTTTTTCAATATAGACGCAAAATGGTAAACATTTTCATTTTAAACATGACGTGTTACTTTTTAACAGAAAAATAGTTAATAATGCGAGTGGTGGTTTGCAGTTCTAAAATGTGTCCCAGTTGGTTAAGGCATTAAAACGTATTAAAGGTTTATTCACTAAACCCCACACTATAGTGAACTGAAAATGAATTCTAAAATGTAGGCTCTAATAACCAAGCTATGAAATGTTATTTTATTTTTAAATCAGTTATTTTGCCTCCATTTTAAAATTAAGCTTAAATCCACTAATTATTTAGTGAATAACCCCAAAAGTGCATACAATTCAAGACTGCATTAATTGAGGGGAACATGCATTATATATTCTCTTTGAGGGCAGAACATCGTTTAGTACTGCCATTAACGTGCTTCAAGGTCACATTTCAGCAGTGAATGCTTTTAGTATATTGATCTGGGAGGAAAGACGTAATTGGGCTCTTTAAGTCTCTGATATCAACTTGTGGAGACCAGGCTACAGCCTTAACTAACCTGAGAATTCTTAAATTCTGAATATACAGAGAAGAGCACATGAAGAGACTGGATTCTGTTTTTGTAAACTGGAATATCCAGGATTCCTGCATACAGTAAAAAGAAAAGCAGAGCATTTACAACGGCATTAACTTGTTTTACTACATGCTTGGAAAAAACCCTATTCAATCAAATACAGCAGCACATAGTATATAATGATAATTGATATACCGGTCTGTGCAAGTAATCGGCATTGAAAATTAGATGAAAATTTATTTTTTCCCCCCAAAGGGGAATTCTATTTTGAACATGAGTAAATATAATCTATGAGCTCTCATTCTCTAACATTATTATTATTATTATTTATAAAGCGCCAACAAGTTCTGCAGCGCGGTACAATGGGTGGACTAACAGACACTTAATTGTAACCAGATGAGTTGGACATTTAGGGCCCTACTCAATGAGCTAACATGCTAGAAGGAGTGGGGTATAGTGGCACAAAAGGAACATGCTATGCTCCTCACTTTAATTGATAACTTCCCCTTATGAAACCAATATATCAATTATCATAAAGAATATATGTAATTGCAACTGTAAAACTCAAGCCCATTTCTTTTTCTAAAACTGGCTCTGCTTGGAAATGGCTCCCAACAAGAGCACAACTTTCCTACAATCCACTGATTTTATTACAGGGACATCAGAGTCTCTGCCCTGTATCCCCAAAATGAATTGACAGGAGAGGGATTTTTTCTTACTCAAATTATTTATTTGAAAACCAACATATTTTCTAGCAACACTGCCAGCAAATGTATGTATGAAAATGTATGTCATGTCTTAAGAGCAGATGGTGTACCCATAACAGATACATGTTGTCCTACTGACTTACCACAAATCACATCAATATATGTGGGAAGATCACAGTCTAAATCAGCAGTTGGAAGACCAACCTAAAAGTAAAAAAAAGAATGAGTTCCACACAAGACAGAATGCTACTTTAAAATGGACCTGATATGTTCTTATTTTGAAGATATTTCAGCTCTACACCAGTTGGAATTAACGTTAATCTAAGGACAACTATTTCATTTTTAAAGACGGTCAGAGGTTTCGGCATCAGAAGGCTTTTATGAATATTAATAATTTTTTTTTTTTTAAGACTACAGTCTTGGCAGTAGGTTTAGATTGATTTTAAGACGTCTGATGCCACCAATCACTGACAGCAAATACATTGTGGGGAAGGGAAGAAACATTTAGCAGTTTTTTTTTCATTAATGAATGTTCTGGGGAAAATAAGACACATCTAACAGTGATTTAATTTGGCAAACAGTAATGTATTGGTACCTTTCCAAGGAGCTCCTCAAACTCTGGCGGCCACTCCTGCATCAGCGTGTCTATGTCTGGCATTGGTCTGTGATGAAAGAAACATGAATTAAAAGAACAGGTCCAGTAAAAGTATTCTAGAGAACATTATACAAGAGAGAGAGACCTTCTAAATAAACACATCCTACGGTTTCCATGATTTCAAACAAATACTTCTAAAAGTCTAACTACATCATTTACATTTTATTGGTAAAGAAACAAAGATACTGGACCAGGTCAAAATGCTATATTAACCCCGTAAGGACAGGGAATTGTAGAAGTTATGTTTAAAAGAGAAGCTAGAATTTGAGCTATTACCTCTTTCATATTAAGTGCACCCACACATATAGAAATTTTGTTTAAATGTTTTTATTTGGTTTTTCAAATATATGTATTCATCATTTTGTTCATAAGAAATATGGATTTCATTTCACATCTTATTTATATATGAAATATAATTTATTAAGAATACAATAAGAAGAAAAAAAAAAGGTGTGAGAAATGAAGACACTTTGATATTTTAACAGTGAATGTTATAGAACTGCTGGCTATTACTGCAATAAAAATACACATTTCTGCATGCTGTGATGTTCCATGAGTATAACAATGGCCCCCAATCTACAAGTTTTATGGTGTTTTGGAAATTTAGAGAGTCAAATATAGGGCTTGCCCGTTTCAGTTTTTACACTTGGAAATTTGCAAGATTGGTTAGCCTATGTTGTCTTTGAGATCATAAGGCAACCCAGTAATAATTATTACCCTCATCATGGCATACAGTTTACAAAAGTAGACAATCCAGGGTATTTAAAATGTAGTATGTTCAATACTTATGTTGGCAATAATAATCAAATCACATTAAATTTGAATACATATTTCACGAAAAATATGTAAGTGGGAGATATTTGATATTTATTGCCAAAATCAATGATATCTCATATACACTACTAAATATATATGCCCCAAATCAATCTCCAATTAAATTCTTAAAATAAATCATGTTAAAATTAGAAAATCTGTAAATTAATACTAGCTGGTCATTTCAATAGCACAGTAGAAGGTGGAGTAGATAAATCTAGAGTGAACTCTCAAAAGGTTCCTCTCATAAATCCAATATTACAAACTTTTATCACTCAATACTCTCTATTTGATTGTTGGAGGTTGCAACATCCAGGAGAGAGATTATTCTTTCTTTTCCCGAGTCCACCAATCATATTCACATATTGATATGTTTTTTATGAGACCACATAAAATTGGTCTGATAACATGGTCAGACCACGCTGCTGTATTACTGGAAATAAACAAACAATTCTGAGTATAAAATTCTGAATAACTGGAGATTGAACGAAAGCATATTAAACTCTTCAAATTTAAAACATATTAGATCAGCCGCCAAGAGTTTTATTCAAATCAATGATACAAATTAAATAAGTAAATAAACCCTATGGTGTTCATTTAAATGCTATATGAGAGGCATAATTATACAATGAGCTACAAAACAAACTAATCAAAACGATCTACTACATATAAAGTTGGCAAAGTTAGATAGACAGAATAAGGCTTCTCCTGACCCTTCCAATATAGAGGATATATTAAAACTTGGAAAACAAATACATTTAAAAACATGACAAAGTAAATAAGCTAATACAGTATTTAAAACAAAAATGGTATTATTAGAGTAATAGATTACAAAAAACTACAAAAAAATAACACAATGAAGAAAATAGTAGTGAATAATATAAGTTATAAGTATATCCCCTAAGGAAATAGCGAATGCTTTTGCGGATTACTATAATTCAATATATAATGTAAAAAATTCCAAATTATCTAATGGTTCACTTGCCAATTTTTTAGGCTCACTAATGAAGTGGTCTGGGTGTCAGGTCCTTCTAGGGTTAACCCATTCACAAACATAGCAGTTTCTCTGAAACTGCTATGTTTATGAATGGGTTAAGCCTTCCCCTATTAATTCTAGTGGCTGTCTCATTGACAGCCACTAGAGGCGCTTGCGTGCTTCTCACTGTGATTTTCACAGTGAGAGCACGCCAGCGTCCATAGGAAAGCATTATGAATGCTTTCCTATGTGACCGGCTGAATGCGCGCGCAGCTCTTGCCGCGCGTGCGTATTCAGCCGCATGGGAGGAGAGAAGGAGGATCGGAGGAGGAGAGCTCTCCGCCCAGCGCTGGAAAAAGGTAAGTTTTTACCCCATTCCAGAGCCGGGCGGGAGGGGGTCCCTGAGGGTGGGAGCACCCTCAGGGCACTATAGTGCCAGGAAAACGAGTATGTTTTCCTGGCACTATAGTGGTCCTTTAATGACGTATGGATCAATCTCAGGTTATAAAGCGAACATGAACAAGTCTAGCGCCCTTCCCTTGGGCATGTTGGTGGCAGAAACGGCACACATTTAATCTACCTATACCATTCAGATGGCACATCGCTCTCTCAAATACTTAGGGATTCATTTAAGAGCTGATCCCACCAAACTGTATGAAATGATCTACGGACCTTTATTCAAAACGTTTGTTAGAGACAGACAATTGGATGGATAAACCAATATCGTGGATCGATTTCTATTCTTGTTCCAGGCCCTCCCGATTAAGATTATGAAAACTGATTTAGCACCCCTTCAAAACGCCATCGGTGCGTTTATATGGCAAAACAAGAGGCACAGGTCTCCAGAAATGTTCTCTACCGCCCTAAAACGAGGGGTGGTTTGGGTCTACCTCACCTTTCCTATTATTATTTTGTTGCTCAGCTTACACAGATAGCGATGTGGCATGCACCAGTGGATTTTAGGAAATGGGTCGATTTGGAGTCCTTAATGACAGGAGAGGACCTCCCCCAATACTACATGTGGGTTCCTAGAGAGAGCAGAGTGATATTACGGTCCACGTGCCCGGCCATAGTTAACTCCCATAGAATCTGGGATGCAACAGCATCTAAATTTGGCCTATCTTCCTCCCACTCCCACTCCCCCTCCCCTATTACTCCGATACTCAGAAACAGAGCGTTCCCTCCAGGTATGTCAGCCCAGGACTTCCAAAATATAGAACGGGCAGGCTTCCAGAGATATTGTCATCTATACGAAGGGGGTCAGATAGTGTCCTTTGACACTCTCAAGAATCGTACTAGACTTACTCCGGCAGACTTTTTCCGATATTTATAGATTAGGGATTATGCAAAGCAGACATGCATGAAAGAAGCTGCGCACAAACAAACAATTATAAAAGACTGTGTCTGAATGAGACTCCCCAGAGAGGCCTCATAACTTTATTATATGCCTATCTGTGCATGAAAACGGGGGACTGGGGGCAACTGAATTACATTTCCCAATGGGAAGCAGACCTTGGGGAGGTGCTAGAAGGCATCGACTGGCAAGATATCTGTGAGGCGGCTGCGTCTTCCTCTACATGCGTTACGTTGCAAGAGCAATGCTAGAAAACTATGTTTAGGTGGTATACTACTCCAGTGAAACTTTATCGCATGAACCAAATTCCAACTGACTTGTGCTGGAGGGGCTGCGGCCTCTGAGGCACATACCTCCATATGTGGTGGAAATGCCTCCGGATTAGATCATGCTGGAAGCAGTAGGAGATGTTTTGGAAAACCTCTTTAACAGACGTCCGGACCTAACCCCATGAGTGTGCCACTTGAATAGGCCATTAGATGGGTGGACACGACCAGAACAAATCTTGCTGCAGAAAGTCACCCTAGTGACTAGATGGGCTGTGGCCCAGACCTGCCTACAACCTACTGTTCCTTCCGTTCCGCAGGTCTTTGATAAAGTTAGGGACACCTGCCTGATGGACAAACTGACAGCGCAAGTGAGGAACACGCTACAAAAGTTTGAGAAAATATGGAAGCCCTGGTTTTCTAGCGGCCTTGCGGACTCAGGTGGAACGCAGGCGGGGATTGGTGGAGAGTGGTAAAGAGGAGCCGATGAATACGACCCTTGCCGGCTTCCTCGTCTTAAAAATTTGTATCACTTCGATTGGAGTAGAACAACTATCAACTATCTGGGTATAAAAATATAATTTGATTTCAATAAAATCATTGAAATTAATTAGAAGGAATGCTCTAAAGAAATGGAAAAATCTGGAGGTTTCCTGGCTAGGAAGAATTAAGGTTATAAATACATATATACAGTGGTACTATATTTTTTTTGGGTTATTCCTGTAAGATTAAATTCTAAAATTCTATTCCAATATCAACAATGTTTTTCTTCCTACATATGGCGAGAAGGTAAAAAAAGAATTTCACAAATCATATTTTAAAAATCCATAAAACATGGGAGGTGTAGCGTATCCAGTTATTTGAAACTATATAATTCTAGTATGATATTTCATGCACTACAATGGGTAAATCCAAAAACTGTAAAATGTAATAATAAAATTGTAAAAAGTGACAAAATGAAAAAATGACATATAAACATAAGCCTGATTTATACTATATTTACTATGTGAAATGTTGAATGTATTTTTCTGTTCTGATGTATAAATCCTAGAAAATTGGAAACAAATATTTATAATACCAAAAAAAAAGTAGTATGTCCATTCTTTTTTTAGTAGCCACTTAGTCACAAACCCTGGCCAAAGTTGGTTGTAAATATTTGTTTTGCATTTGTCACACAAAAACTGCACTTTCACTGATGATATCATCATCATCATTATAGGTTTTACTGCTCTGAAACATTCACATTTGTTTTGAGCAAAGTCTTTTGAGTACAACAGTACCCCCTTATGAACAGGATTTATGGGATTTTGGAGAGTTACAGGGTCAAATATAGGTCTTGCCCATTTCAGTTTTTACACATTGAAATTTGACAGATTGGTTCACTGGGTCTACGTGGCCTTTGAGACTACATAGCAACCCAGGAAAAACAAACAATAATACCGGCAATTACTCCCATGATTGAATTTCATTTTAAAAAATTGGCAACCCAGGGTATTCCAAATTGCGTCATTTTAGTTCTTTGATTTAGCCACTTCTGGCCCCATTTAGCGGCCACATATTCTTTTGAGTTTTTTCACACAGATGAATTCCATTTTCAAAGGTAACGTCGTAATCCTTATGAGTTAGTGCAATAATCCCTCAATATTTTTATTTATTCTCATGAATATAACAGTGCCCCCCATGTACTGGTTTGCTGGGCCTATGTCGCCTTTCAGAGAGCATGCACCCTATGAAAGAAAATTGACCCCATTATGGCATATCATTTTAACAAGTATTGTAAATGTAGTATTTTGAATTGTTTATAATGGCTGGTTTGTTTTACCAACTGCTCTTGATTTCTGGATATCCCTGACCTTAACCTATCCCTGTTTACATTAAGCCCAGTTAGTTGGTATAGCCAGTCAAATAGTAATTGGGACAAGCTGAGGTCAGAAATCTGGAATAATGAAAAGTCACATACATAGTGATTCAATAGTTCAGCTCTGTATGGTAGACTCTGAAGCAGATTCCAGGTAGAAATGGACATACGTGCAGTAATCATTTTTGAATGCAAAACTTTCTCTGGGGTGACTTTTAACATGGTGTGGTGGGATTCAGGAAGGAAAGGGTTTGCTCAAAAGTCTCTGTACATTCTCCTTTTCAACAGGGGGAAGATTGGGGGACTGCGTACATAAAATAGACAAAAGTGTTAACATAAAATGGGCATGGCTTTTTATACAGCACATAGGAATTAAAGATTGCAACCAAGATTAGATCGATTGCAGTTTTCTTGTTCCAGCACCTAGTTTTTCAGTTAAACAGATAAGGCTGCATACATTGATCAGCCAAATCAACTCCCTCGATATACTTGCTAGTCTACAATGCACTTTGGTTTTTCCATGTGCTCAGTTCTTACTCTGACAGACAGTGCCAGTGTACTTTCTGTGACCCATGGGGCCAGCAACTCATCCTGGTGTAGAGCTGTAGTAGCCTTGTCAGAGTTTGCGGGATACCTCTGCATGTTTTACGCACTGTGCCACATGCTAGGGTTTCGAAACAAAATCAATTTTTAAATAAATCAACAGTGGTTTAATAACTATCAAGCCATAGATGATAATCTTTATTTAACAGGGGTAGGAGCAAATCCCACACAATCTTGCCATTTGTGCCCACAGAATCAGGGCATCCTGGTGGGTCTATATGGCTATCCTTTCCTTGAGAAATCCAAAAAGCCCATGTATAGGCAGTTGTGAATTCAAATAATTTATAGAATATAGTTTGAAAAGCAGTCTACCTTTAAATTTCATAAGGGATTTGTGAGTACAAATGTTTTTTGTCTGTGATATAATTTTGGGAAAATTTGTTAAACAGGAGTTGTATTACAAATTTTGTAGACCCACCACCGTGCATTTGAAAATGGGAAGAAGACTTGGAGGAGCAGATGACGGAAGCAGATTGGGATAAAAGCATGACCCTGATACAGAAAACACCGAGCTCGGCACACACACAAGAAAACTCGTATAAGATATTTACCAGATGGTACCTGACACCGACAGCTCTTCACGCCAGAAACCCAGAAATCCCGGATACATGCTGGAGATGTTGGGAGGAGACCGGAACGTTCACGCACATATGGTGGACATGCGCCCGCATTAGACCATTCTGGGACAGAATCCAGTCAATAATCCAGGAGGTCACAGATGAACACCTCCCACAGTCCCCAGCCGCCTTCCTACTACACCACACAACTATGGCGACACCAACATATAAGAGATCGGTTATCCCCAGACTCCTAAACGCGGCTAAAGTGACTATCCCTATTTACTGGAAGCAAACCAACATACCACCCATAACAAAGTGGATAGAGGAGGTGGAAGCCACAAGGATATTCGAGGACATGAAAGCAGAAACTCCGAACCTCAGAGACCACCACACCAAACGCTGGTTCCAATGGACGAGACTGATTACGTCGGACTCATTCAGACATCACATAAACGCGCCATGAAAGTCGACGGGAAGACGAGGAAGAAAGCACTACGAGAAGTGAATCAAAGACGGCGAGACGCGGCAGACCGGACGGGCACTGGAGGCGGACTACCCCAACCATCCCACCCTAACCCGCACCCAGACAGCACCACATTAAGACATCGACCGACGCTACCTGAAACGAACACTTTACACTCAGACAGGATAACAACCACGATTCACACACATGAACACCCACAAAGACAAAATCGGGAACAAAGACGGTTAGGACAGTAACAACCGAACCTCCCCCCCTCATACACGGCAAGCCAAGCACTCACGAAGACAAACACTAGCCCAAACACAACCACATATACCCAAAGAACCTCGCTGTCAAACCAATAACCATACTCCGAACAAAATCGATGGGTACGCACTGAAACACGGACCTCCAGGCAGGCTACAACACAATAAGATAGAGAGACATACCACAGTTAAAACACACGAACCATTGCAATGTACTAGATTACCCATAAACGCACCTTAGCACGCTAAACAGAATACTACACTGACTACACAGACAAAAGCTACATGGGGCCAGTCACGCACGGCAATGAAACACTAAATCACACAGCGCAACAGACACGCAGACACGCAAGCAGACAGCACCAAAATATAGTACACGCACACGCACCAAAATATAGTAAGATATGGCACACTATCAGATAAAGGCCCCACGAAGGAGACACAAACAGGAAGTCAATAGACCAAACACCGCCAGCAGAAAAGCGAGATACAACTAGCACAAGACCAGAGCAACCAGGGACCAGACACGACGGGGCCCGCAGACACAACCTACACAGGTAACACGCGATAAAAACACCCAAAACAAGACAAGCCTGAGTGAACGCAACAAAGGCACACCATAAGTCATGCAGACAAACACAGCAAGCAAACAAATCGATACCTATACTGTATCAAGCAGGCAATAACCAAACCGCCTCTGCGTAGGCGACAAAAAGCACACAAATGTCTGTAGGGAAAACGTATGCCCCTGCGCGGGCAACCAATGCCTCAATACTCGCACTGTTGTTACCTGCAAATGCATTACGATAAAGGAGAAGATCAACACACTCAATAATACATGCAGACCCTAACAGACACAACAGAAAGCCGAAAACTCCTAACACACACAAAACACACAGGGACCTGCCGAGCACAACATCTACATGATGAGGTCCAAACACATATTATATATTAATGCACAGCTGCCTAAAAACAGATATGCTCCTTATGTTTAAAGTTGGAAAAGCTTCTGTATTTTTGATTATGGCCTAATGACCTCATCTAACGAGCAAGCAGATTAACCTGCCTCAGCACAGTCGACAATTTTGCACCTACTGACCAGCAAACACACCACACTTGCACACACCAGCTAACACAAAACACATATCGCCCTAACCGAACTACAAAGGCTACACAGTACATAAAAGTATAGAGCACAAAGCAACCGACTGTGAATAAATGTTAATAATAATAAAAAAATTGAAATTTTTTTTTTATTTTTTTTTAAAGTTAAGCTTAACAGGCTAAGATGGATCCGCCTCTGCGCAGGCAACCAAAAGTATATACTGTGTTAAACCAATGCTTAAGCCCCTGCGTGGGCAATCACTTGCTTTATTACAAATCAGTTTGACGTATGAACTTATGTTATGCATACAATAAAAATATTCAAAACTAATTTTGTAGACCCTGTACAAAAAATGGGTCGTTTCTAAGGGGACCCATTATCGGTAAAATGGAGGAATTGCAACATTTGCTCAGTGATCCATCTTCATAATTCCTGGAAAAGGAGGGGTAGTCAGGATGGGGTACTTGTGCTAGTAGAGCCAGATATAGTGTTACCGCGGATTCGATAACATACTGGCTGGAAATCAAGTTGGTTTGCTTAAGCATCAACTCAAATAGGTCATCCAACACAGAGTCTAAAATAGTTCACTGGCTCACAAACATCTACCGTTGTGATGCCAGGTGTAGCTGTGCAAGAGTGTATTTCTGGGACCGTAAAGCTTGGAGGGTACCCAGCTTTCCTCTGGCACTGTGGGGCATCCTTTTTGTAGATGGTGGTGGGGAACCATCACTGGAGGACTCCCTTAGAGGCTGCCATAGTGTTACTGTCTAAGGAAGTGTCACTATCTGAGCCTGCCAGAATGGTGCACGACTACTCTACAATATAATAACGGGTCATCATAGGGGGATTCATTTAATTAATTGCCTACCTGCCCAATACCCACTATCACACCAACGCTCTAATTTCCACTTCCAACCACAGAAAACCCAATACACAACCAAAAAAAAAAATGTAATAAAATTACTGATCACAGATCAAACAGCTGCAACAAGCACAAAAAGGTTTTAATTCTTTTTAAATATAAATAGCAGGGGAGGAATGTCAGCTTGACTAGAGAGCCCTCTGATCACTGATACAGTACAGTGATCAGGCAGCAGGTAAAGGGCTAAAATAAAACTGCTGTAGCTTATGAAAGGGGTAAAAAAAAGTGTGTGTGTGTATATATATATATATATATATATATATATTTTAATAGCACCATGGTACTAATCACCAGACAGATCACAAAATTAATGCTGTGATCAGCACTAAAAGGGAATAAAAACACAAATAAAAACAATTCACACAGTAACAACACTGTTTAGCATTGCCTCTCTTGCCTCAGATCAAAATGAGGATAATAAGGGGGCAGAGACAATGCCATTGTTGCAAATTATTGGCGGAGATACTTTTACCTGTGACCGCAATCACATGCTGTACATCGCTGGCATTAGCTACTGGGGGGCTTCTGGGTTACCAAGCAGGTACCCCGATCGTACTATGTAGCATGGGAAGGGAGGGCTAATTTGCCAGGGCATGATATGTTACCCTAATTGCATTACTACTATAGGAAGGCACAGCACGTCCTAATGGCATGAATGGGTTACAAAGAGTCATATTTGGCCTAGCCACTAAAGTGAGAATTCAAGGTGAATTTAAAATTAAAGGTACATTTTTTATATCGGCTATTTTAACCTTAAATTTGTGATTCACCTTGAATTTACTTTGAATTCTCACTTCAGTGAATAAGTCTGCATATCTTATATGCAAAAAACGAAAACTTTTCCCAGTATGCCTTTCTAATTGAATTACAGAATAAGTTTATAAAAGAAAAAAAAAAAGTTCACCCAAGGTGGCTCACAAAAGTGAGAATTGTGTGAATCACTGGAAGAGATAGATCCTGCATGCGCATTCAGTCAGTCCATAAGAAAGCATTCTCAATGCTTTCCTATGGACGCTGGCGTCTTCTCACTGAGAAAATCACAGTGAGAAGCGCGGAAGCGCCTCTAGCAGCTGTCAATGAGACAGCCACTAGAGGCTGGATTAACCGTAAAGTAAACATAGCAGTTTCTCTGAAACTGCTATGTTTACAGCAGAAAGGGTTAATCCTAGATGGACCTGGCACCCAGACCACTTCATTAAACTGAAGTGGTGTGGGTGCCTATAGTGGTCCTTCAACAACCGTGATAGCAGAACAGCTTAGAAAAAAAAATGGCAGAATAAAGTAGAATAAAATTTTGTAAATGATATGCATTAAGACCACATACGGTAAGTACAGTTAAATCATACATTTCTAAAGTATTGAAACAATTTATGGCAATCAATGGCGATGTATTGGACAGATGGCCTATGATAAATAGCATTCACTTTGTTCCTTCCCAGATTGTAGGAATGGTATGATCTTTGACAGCTTAAGGGGTAGAGCTGCTGTTTCCAGGACTTTTACAGACATTAAATTGTTGTAATTGGCTCCTGGCAGAGACATTTTTTTCTCTACAAAATGGTAATCATTCCTGTAGTATAAATGAAGGTAAGTGAGGCTTTGTGGATAAATAGCTTCTTGCTATTAAGCAAAAGAAAATAAATCATCATGCTTACAACATTTTAGAAGGGAAGAGGCTAGACTGCTGGAATCTATTAAAAAGGGAGAAATTAGGGGGCGGGCCGGACCGCCGAGCTGGACGGTCGCAAAAAAGATCAGCTCCTGCAACCTACCAATCTCTAAGCCTCTAAATATGATTTTTTACCCAAATGCAGATCAACAGCGATGGTGCTCAGTGCATAGGGGACACTGGATCTAGGGTGAGGCTGGCTCCTCGAGTTTTAGTCCCCTGGAGGAGAAATCTTCTAAGTTGAGGCCTTCTCCGGCAGTGAGTGGGGCAGACGGCCACTGCTCCGCTAGCCTGCCTAAACAGTGCCCAAATCCGCGTGGACCTGGCCCTGCCCCCCCCTTCTGGACCGGTGGGGGTGATCCCAGTCCTCACCCTGTGGCCCTGACTGCTGCAACGCAACCAAGGCCCAGCGACACCACCAGCACGATCTTCAGCCCGGGCGCTTCATCTAAACTGGCGAACCTGCAGAAGCCAGCTATAAGCACACATCATAGCTCCCTGGCAAGACGCTTACCCTCTGAGACGCAACGCAGGGCTTCGGATCCGGTTCAGGAGCATGTCCGAAGAAGGTGGAA